AGGTTAAGGAATGATGGAGGAAAGTCTGCTGAACTCGAGAGCAGCTCTCTTAATTGGGACAGTAATTATTGGTGAATGTGCTCCCTGCTGTAAGAACACGCTGAGGTGTTAGTCACACAGGGGTGCTCAGTGTTGTCCTCTTGCTTCCTAGCCTGCGGCTCACCCCTGTGCCTCGTGCCCGTGGCCTGGTGAGGGATGTCCGTTAGACTGCGGCGCTGTAGCTCAGCGAGGTCCTCCTGGCCTCGTCAAGCCCAGTTCTGCCCAGGGTGCAGGTCCGGTCTGTGCTGTTCTGCCTGACGGTCCTGTCCGCCTCCCCCACCCCCGCAGGTGAACTTCACCGTAGACCAGATCCGCGCCATCATGGACAAGAAGTCCAACATCCGGAACATGTCTGTGATCGCCCACGTCGACCACGGCAAGTCCACCCTGACCGACTCGCTGGTGTCCAAGGCGGGGATCATCGCCTCGGCCCGCGCCGGCGAGACGCGCTTCACCGACACCCGGAAGGACGAGCAGGAGCGCTGCATCACCATCAAGTCCACGTGAGTGTCGCCATGGCGACGGGGGTCTGGCCTTGTGACTGCCGCGGTCACCTTGATAATTAACGTCACGGGGGGCGGTGCAGTCCAGTCCCCAGTGCAGCTGAAAAGAGGGTGTTTGACGGCCGGTGTCGCACTGGACTGCTGTACACATCGCTGTCTGTCCAGCACAGACACCTGGCTGGTGCACAGCAGGTGCTGGGAGCGCCTCGTCGAGCTTTCTCAGAGGCGTTGCAGCGAAGCTGTTTGACTGATGGGCTGCTCTCTCCCTCCCTGCGCAGTGCCATCTCCATGTACTACGAGCTGAGCGACAACGACTTGGCCTTCATCAAGCAGTGCAAGGACGGCTCGGGCTTCCTCATCAACCTGATCGACTCCCCCGGGCACGTGGACTTCTCCTCGGAGGTCACCGCCGCCCTGCGCGTCACTGACGGGGCCCTGGTGGTCGTGGACTGCGTCTCCGGTACGAGAGGAGCCGCCGGCGGGCGCTGATCGCAGTTTAATGCACTGTTATGCTCGATGCCTAGCGGGTGATTTCGTACACTGGGTAGCTGCGTAGTGAGTTTGGCGTCGTTCTGAGGGGTCTGTAGCTTGGCCTTGCAGGATGCTGAGCCGTTCCACTCCCTCCCTGGCCAGGTGTGTGCGTGCAGACCGAGACGGTGCTGAGGCAGGCCATCGCCGAGCGGATCAAGCCGGTTCTGATGATGAACAAGATGGACCGGGCCCTGCTGGAGCTGCAGCTGGAGCCGGAGGAGCTGTACCAGACCTTCCAGCGCATTGTGGAGAACGTCAACGTCATCATCTCCACCTACGGGGAGGACGAGACCGGGCCCATGGGCAACATCATGGTGAGGCGCTGGGAATGTAGACTTCCTGGGGGGCGCTGTGGGGTCCTTCTATAGTCCTCCCCCCCTCCCTCCAGGGGCTGTAGAGGTTTGGCTTGCTGGTAGAGCACAACACTGAGCCTTTGGCTTGCAGTTGGAGGCAGGTTTGTATCAAGCTGGTGCAAGATGGGATACTGGGAGGTTTGTATTTTGAAGGCTCATGCGTCTCTCTTCCTCCTCCACCCCTCAGATCGACCCAGTGATCGGTACCGTGGGGTTCGGTTCTGGTCTGCACGGCTGGGCCTTCACCCTGAAGCAGTTTGCGGAGATGTACGTGGCCAAGTTCGCTGCCAAGGGTGACGCCCAGCTGGCGCCGGCCGAGAGGGCCAAGAAGGTGGAGGACATGATGAAGAAACTGTGGGGAGACAGGTGTGTGTTATCGGGGTTCCCGTGTTCTGGCTAAACGCCAAGCCTCCGCTTCAGGGCTCTGAGTAACTGTTCCTCTGTCTGTAGGTACTTTGACCCAGCTACCGGGAAATTCAGCAAGACCGCCAACTCCCCAGATGGCAAGAAGCTGCCTCGCACCTTTGCACAGCTCATCCTGGACCCCATCTTCAAGGTGAGCAGCCTGTGGGTGGGCGCTGTGAGGCCGGGGTGCCCCAGCTCCTGTATTCTAGTGGGGAGCTCTTCCAGCCTTGTAGCCCTGGCAGAAGAGGGGGATCCTGTCAGCTGTACGCTCTTGCCTGCAAGTGATGACCTGAAATATTCTTCACTTTGACCTGACTGGCTGGTGATGAGAGACTTTAGTCTGACTGCATGGCGGCACAGGGCACCACAATCGCAGCAGCACACAGCTGTGCGCTCTGCGGTCTGGAAAGAGCGAAGCCACTCAATTTCCACAGCTTTGATTCCCGTTAGGTGTAGTTGGGAGATTTTGTATAGCAGCTTGGCGATTGTAGTTCCTAGGTCTTGCAGCGACGCAATGTGGTGCTGGCCGGGTGTTTTGGGGTTTGCATGGTAACGCCTGCCTCGTGCTCCTCCAGGTGTTCGACGCCATCATGAACTTCAAGAAGGAGGAGACGGCGAAGCTGATCGAGAAGCTGGACATCAAGCTGGACAACGAGGACAAGGACAAGGAGGGCAAGCAGCTGCTGAAGGCCGTGATGCGCCGCTGGCTGCCGGCGGGAGAAGCGCTGCTGCAGATGATCACCATCCACCTGCCCTCGCCCGTCACCGCCCAGAAGTACCGCTGCGAGCTGCTGTACGAGGGGCCTGGCGACGACGAGGCCGCCATGGGTAGGGATCCTGAGCACTGGGGGGGGTATTGCTGCTGCTGCTGTTGGGACGTACTGGTGCCTCGGTTGCTCAATGCGATATGATCATTTATTGCCCTGCGGTGCTGTGTGAATGTCTTCCTGACTTCAGGAGATAGCTTACCATGGAGTGGGAAGCTTTTGTTGTTCCTATGAAGTCCCGCTAGATCCTTTTGATTTGCTTTTTATTATGCTGGATGAGCCCTGCTTATTTCTAAGAGTACCTCCAGGCTGTGGAGGTACTGTGCTCTAACCCCCAGCAGTTTCCAGTCAGTAACGGTCTTCCCTCTCTCAGGCATTAAGAACTGCGACCCCAAGGCCCCTCTGATGATGTACATCTCCAAGATGGTGCCGACCACTGACAAGGGACGATTCTACGCCTTTGGCAGAGTGTTCTCTGGCTGTGTCTCCACCGGCCTCAAGGTCCGGATCATGGGACCAAACTACACCCCAGGAAAGAAGGAGGACCTCTACCTCAAACCCATTCAGAGGTCAGTACCGGTTGGGGATGGCCAGGCCTGGTGGGCTCAGGAGACTGCCCCTGAGGCTCCTGGTTCTGGGCGGGCGCGTCGTGTCTGACCAGCCTCTCCTGTGCTCCTCTCAGGACCATCCTGATGATGGGCCGGTACGTGGAGCCCATCGAGGACGTGCCCTGCGGCAACATCGTGGGGCTGGTCGGCGTGGACCAGTTCCTGGTGAAGACGGGGACCATCACCACCTTCGAGCAGGCACACAACATGCGCGTGATGAAGTTCAGCGTGAGCCCCGTGGTGCGCATCGCCGTGGAGGCCAAGAACCCCGCCGACCTGCCCAAGCTGGTGGAGGGGCTGAAGCGCCTGGCCAAGTCCGACCCCATGGTGCAGTGCATCATCGAGGAGTCTGGCGAGCACATCATCGCCGGCGCCGGAGAGCTGCACCTGGAGATCTGCCTCAAGGACCTGGAGGAGGACCACGCCTGCATTCCACTGAAGGTACGGCTGGGGCGTGGCGGGTTTTACTGCTGACTGTGGTCGAGCACTCAGCTGCTGCTCTGTCCGAGTTTATCGTCACTTTAAACACAGCTGCAGGCCTGTACAGAATCGAGCTGCTGTTTGCAACAGAGCTACGCAGTAAGGCCTGGGTGCTGGATTCTACAGAGACTGCATTCTTCTGATGGTATAGAGCAGGAAGCACTATCTGCTCCAGGCCTCTGCCTTGCGCTGAGCTAACCTGCTAGCCTGCAGAACCCCTTGCGTGCTGCAATCCCCAGCAGGCTCTGGGAGAGAGGGTGACAGTGCGGTGGTCGGTCTCATGGGCCTGCAGGTACAGGGAGAGCGACCCCTGCTGGTCGCTGCAGTGCGATGAAGCTGTCCTGTTCGGTCTGCAGTACCATCGCTGCCGAATACCAGAAGTGCTGAGACACGGGCCTTATCGGCCAACACTCCTGCATGGAGGCCCAGCTTGTATTGCAGCCTGCTGGGGGTCACTGGGGGGGGCGAGGTCCCTGCAGGCCCATTCTGAAGCACACAGCTGCCGGCGGTAGTGTGCATCAGTCCTGGCTCATCCTCTCCCTCTCTCCCCTGCAGAAATCGGACCCCGTGGTGTCTTACAGAGAGACGGTGAGCGAGGAGTCCAACCAGATGTGCCTGTCCAAGTCCCCCAACAAGCACAACCGCCTGTACATGCGCGCGCGCCCCTTCCCCGAGGGGCTGGCCGAGGACATCGAGAAGGGCGACGTGACCGCGCGCCAGGAGCTGAAGGCGCGGGCCCGCTACCTGGCCGACAAGTACGAGTGGGATGTGGGCGAGGCCCGTAAGATCTGGTGCTTCGGCCCAGATGGCACCGGGCCCAACGTGCTGGTGGACGTGACCAAGGGAGTGCAGTACCTGAATGAGATCAAGGACAGCGTGGTGGCTGGGTTCCAGTGGGCTACCAAGGAGGTAAGAGGGATTGGGGAGGTGGGCTAATGGCTCTTTTCCCGGGGGCACCTGTAGGTCACTCTAATGCCTTAGAAGACCTGGAATGAGTTTTGGCTCTTGGGCAGCTGATCCAGGGATTTAAGAATAAGAAACCTGGCCGTCAAGCTTTTAGACGCTCTGTCCAAGCCACTGTGAGGTTCTGTGAGGAGCTTGGGACCTGGTAGTAGGAGGTTCACAGGTGCTGCCAGTTCATAGTTTCTCCTGTTGCTGGTCAGTGCTGTGGCGATGTGCGTGAGAGTGATCCGATCTGGTCCCATCTAGTTTTATACATGACAAATCGTACAGCTTCTAACGACGCGGCGCTGTCGAGTTGTGGCCAGTTGATGGTAATTGGAGCTTGGGGACTAAAACCCGAGTCTCCTTCAGTCAGGGACTCGGGTCCCCAAGGGCTGAACAGTCTGCTTGACGCACCAGCTTTAGGAGTTGACATTGAGGAGGCCTGTCCTGAGAGTGCTGACCTACTGGGTTAGGTTCTCCAGAACCGGGACCAGAGACCTTGTCTGTGAATGGGGCAGGTGGGGCTCTTGGACGTGTGACTAATTACCCCCCCCCCTGTGCGGCAGGGCGCCCTGTGCGAGGAGAACATGCGCGCTGTGCGCTTCGACATCCACGACGTGACCCTCCACACGGACGCCATCCACCGCGGCGGTGGCCAGATCATCCCCACGGCCCGCCGCGTGCTGTACGCCTGCCAGCTGACCGCTCAGCCCCGCCTCATGGAGCCCATCTACCTGGTGGAGATCCAGGTGAGTCTGATCGCATCCTTACACGCCTAGTTCTTAGTCACTTTGCCTGCGATATTGTGTTGGGCCAATCAACCTCCTTGTTGGTCACTTCTGGTTTAAAAGGCAGAAGTGTGAGAAACTATTCAACCCTGCTTACCCGTCTGCAGCCAGGCTGCTTTGTGTTTTGTTGACGTTCTCAGATACTGGTCTGAAGTCGTTTTGACTTGAGTAGCCCTGCTGTAAATCTGCTCTGCTGCTGCCCCCCAGCCCGACAGCTCCTGTGTGAGCCCTGCTGTACGGGCGGGGCTCTCTGCCTGCCGAGAGCCTTGGGATTGACGTACTGTTCTGTCCAATCGCAGTGCCCCGAGCAGGTTGTGGGCGGAATCTATGGTGTGCTGAACAGGAAGAGAGGCCACGTGTTCGAGGAGTCGCAGGTGGCAGGGACGCCCATGTTCATCGTCAAGGCCTACCTGCCCGTCAACGAGTCCTTCGGTGAGTGTTGATGCTGATCTTTGGATGCACTTTGAGACGGTTAGCCGTTGCCCCAGGTAGTGATGCCCTGTGACTGCAAGGCCAGCTAGAGATCTCTCTGCATCGTCCCAGAATACCTAACTCGTGTCCATATCTCAGCTGTGGAGCCTTACGTTCTTTATTTGTTCCACTGTTTTTGTCCGTTTACACTAGATAGGTGTAGTAACTGCGAATGTAGGGCTGGTACCCTGGGAGCAGATTCGGATTTATTCCAGTGTTCTCGGCTCAGCCCGTGACGGACAAGCCCGACACTCCTGACACCGTGTGTGTTTTTTTCCCAGGCTTCACCGCCGACCTGCGCTCCAACACCGGAGGCCAGGCCTTCCCGCAGTGCGTGTTCGACCACTGGCAGGTGCTGCCCGGGGACCCCTACGAGGCCAGCAGCAAGCCCTTCCAGGTCGTGGCCGAGACGCGCAAGCGCAAGGGGCTGAAGGAGGGCATCCCAGCTCTGGACAACTTCCTGGACAAACTGTAACGACCCCCCCCAGCACCCCCCACCCCACCTCCCCTGCCCCCTTCATCTTCCTCCACTGCGCCTGGGTGAGGGCCAGGACTGTACAGACCACCGCGAGCATCACAGACACTTGACTTGCCAAAACAGAGAAATCCAGATGAACTCAACGGCTACATAAAACAAATTATGGAGAAAAAAAATAAACAATAAATGAACATAAAAACTGGAGATGTTCTCTGGTCTTTTTCTTTAGATTTTACCCAGAGCTTTTGAGGGTGTCAGGTTGTGAGCAGAGGTCTGGGTTTCAATCCTGGTGTGGGGAAATACTCCCCTCGATTTACAAACAACCGGCTCCTTGTGTGTGTAAAACTTTTGAATTGTGCCACATCTGGGAAACGGTCATGACTGTGCCCCTACCAGAGCACTGAATCCATTAGTGCAGGAGTTTAAAACTACCGCTGCGAGGAGGCCGTTGAGAGATCTTGTGATGTTGGTGATGGCTTCAGGGGGGAAGAAGCTGGGTGTTTGTGAATTGAGGGATGGGTTCATAGAAACGGCTGTAAAAACAGGTTTGATGATTGTGTGTGTGTGTGAAGGGGGTGGATATGGGGCTATGGTTCCTTAAGTGTGCAAGGGACAAGTGCCAGAAGCCTTCTGTTATAATTTGTGCTCTACCATCTTTCCACAATGGGTTGCTGGATGCTAGGCTGTCTATAAGGGGTGGGCTAAAGGCTCATTGTTCGCTACACTGCAGTTGGATATTTGATACATATGCTTGAAGAGCACCATCTGGTAGATGTGAAAAAACACTCCCTACAAGTCCTATATAATTACAGCAGGAGTCAACTTAAAACATCCTGTTTTAATGTTCTATAGGACTTCATTTTTGTAACTTCTCGGTGTGATCATTCCTGTGGCCTGGTCCTGGTCACCCACAGGCCTGTACCAGCTGATTCCTTGGTTACACAATCAAACCTCTTTCATTGACTTAACGGGGAACTGCAACTCTTTATCTCAGGATCAGAATCCGCATTGACAAGTGCATTTCAAACCACAATAAGAGTAAAATGTACACAGGGACTTGTTAAAACCTCCACACTATTTACAGCACTAAATAGACAGTTTGCAGATCTGCCCAGCGCCATATTCTGATTCGGAACAAGGTGAAAATTCTGGTGAGGTTAACCAGATCTATGATGCCGTAAACGAGCAGGCTTGTGAAGACATCTCTTTGAATCCAATCGTGTTGGAACATTTCTGCAGTGAAATGTCTGCTACACAACCTACACTTATTTGCTCTACATCACATCAGTCATTACAGGGACTAGTGAGCAGGAAGGGCTGCATCACATCGCAATTCTCACAAACTCACTCTCGCCCGTGGTGAGACCAGGGCTTTGCAACGACACGGCATCTCGCGGTACTTTCACAAAGGTCGTGATTCTGTGCTTAATGAAAAGTTTTTAAAATTTTCTATAGTGTCGATTTTTACCTCCAGGATTTAGTAACTGATCTGTGAAACTGGGACTCCTGTTGACCTTTAATAAGAGGAAGATGAGTCTGAGGAGTTCCCAGCTAAGAAACATGTTTGGAGCTTTGTTGTATTTTGTAAAAGAAAAAAAATCCCAGAAAACAGAGCAAATATTAAATTCAAAGAAACTGCTTTGATTAATTAGGTCTACAATAATTGTTTACTTACAAAGTTTTTTTTCTAGACACTCAAAGCTCTTCAGAGGTAATGGGGATCCCTTCCACACCCACCTGGATGATGCGCCAGTCCGCTTACCACACACCAGCTCTCAGTGATGAAGCCAGTTCAGAGATGGGGATTATTAGGAGGCCATGATGGGTGAAGGCCAGGGGGAAATTTGGACAGGACACAGGCGTAACACCCCTACTCTTTCAGAAACGCCCTGGGATTTTTAATGACCACAGAGAGTCAGGACCTCGGTTTTACTTCTCAGCTGAAGGACTGCGCCTTTTTACAGTGTAGTGTCCCCGTCACTATACTGGGGCGTTAGGACTCACACAGACTGCAGGGTGAGCGCCCCCTACTGGCCCCACCAACACCTACTCCAGCAGAAACCTTAGCTTTCCCAGGAGTCTCCCCTCCAGGAACTGACCAGGCTCACACCTGCTGGGCTGCAGTGGGGCTGCCAGCTGGGAGATGGAGGTAATTATCTAATGATGCTGGAATGGTATGAAAAACAGCAGGTGTGTGGGGCACTAGGACACTGATTGGGAATCACTGACTTAGAGGAGTATGTTTTCCTTAAGGAATGTGCAGGACGGAAAAAAAGCTGAACCGGGAAACAGATCACACACTGGCATCGGCCAGCCCTGGTGATTATGGGCCCACCAGAACACAAATCTTCAGATACAGGGCTCTTTCTGGGAAAGATAACTCTCCTACCACGAGAGACCCATCTCTTGCTACCTGAGGTTTCAGCACTTGGATAACCAGTCACCAGGTAACTTTTTAATATTTGCAGTGAATATTTACAGTTTTGACTGAGCACACATAAAGCATTTACAAAGGACAATTACATAACTCAAACAGCACACAAACATTTCTTACACATTCAGGAGAAAGTGAGATTGTCAGTTTCTACCATTAAGCTGCGAGCTTTGGATCGACTAAAAAAAAAAAAACATTCTCAAGTACTAATGAAGAGAATTCAATATTCTTCCGCAAGAAGGCTGCTTGATGCATAAAAATGGAGTAGTACACATAAAGCAGAGTATAGATGTATCTAAATCCCTCATCATGGCATGCACAACAACACCTGAGCTACCTGCAGCACAGGTGTGCAAGACTGCTCCTCTTACCCCAAAACTCTCACCCACCAGACAAACCAGAATCCAGCTCAGCTAATTTAACTGCCTGCTCATGTACGTTGTCATTATGTAGTTTTAGTCTCTGTGGTGGGGGAGTCCAGGCCCATCCTGCAGGTTTGACGGAAGGCTTTTAAACAGTCAAGGAAAGGGATCTGGAGAGGATGTTAACTTTCCTTAATAAAGCAACTGACACATTCAATTCAGTCATTCAGAGGCCCTCTGAAAACAACACGGGAGCCTGTGGTGGCTGGGGGGAGTTCTGTCCCTCTCACGTTTGCAGAGGAGCTCACCGGAACACGGGTGTGGCTAGCGGAGCCCAGCAGCCAGATCCACACCGCGCCATGCAGGCCAGCGTCCCACCTGCTCCCTTGTGCTGGGGGCAGAAGCAGATCATTTCACGGGCCCTCCCCGGGCGCTCACGACAACAAAACCCCCATGGGCCACCGCCCCTCGGCTCGAACCCCAGCAGCGCCAACGGGCCTCTCTGCTGGGGACTGAGCTGGACCCACTTGTTCTGCTACTGAGATAACCGACCGCCCTCCTCCCGGGCAAAACCCCTAGGCAGGAGTAGAATGGGTTCTATGGACCCTTTTACTTCATTAAAAAAATTAAGGTTCTGGATCTGTGGGTCTGATTTTAAAATTTCAAGCCCAGTGTCTTCACACCCCAGGGCACACTGTGTGTGTAGATGCTCAGGCAAAGAAAACTGTGAAAATGAACACCTGTGTTAACTCAAGATGCCAAGGACAAGGGGGAGTAGGGGACCCCCTCTATGATCTAGGGTAACTGCACAGGTGGGGCTCAGCTGAACTCAAGTTTCCCTCTGACGGTCACATGCAGAACAACACAGTGACAGAGTGACCAGCTCACTTGAGAGGCTGCAGTAGCAGCAAGACTGCAGCCTTCAGGGTTCACTATGATCACAGGAGAGTCCCCAGACCCCCCTCACCCTCACTCCAACGTCTGTGCCGGTCAGTCAGGGTTTCTAGATGACCTCTAACCCCAGAGGTCACAACTGCAAGAAGATAACCCCTCAGTCTTCCACCCAGCAGCTGTATTAGCTGTAACCGGTGACCCCACACCCCCTCCACCCCTCACCACTCTAGCCAGAGAAAATGACCTCTAAGGTCAAAGGTCATCATGTATTCATGTGTGTCTTGCACAGATTAAACCTGCAGAGGTCAAAAGTCATTGTGTCTAGGTGACCACCTCACAGGTCAAGAGTCACTACATTGTGAGGACCTCAGAGGCCAGGGGTCATTGTTAAAGAGGTGACCCCAGAGGTCAGGGGTCACTATGTGTAGAAGATAACCTCGGGCAGCTGTCCATCCTCCACCGAGGTGCCGTTGTTGTTTCCTGCGGCGTAGCAGAACGTGAAGCAGGTCTTGGTGCCGGTCGACGGCGACTCGTGGGTCACCTTCCGCAGCCCCTTGGTGCCGTAGTGGGAGTCCGGGCCCTGGGAGAGAGATCTGGGTCAGAACCCCTCCGTGGACGCCCACAGAATCAGCCCCCCGGGACGCCCACACACACCTTGAGCGTGGCGCAGGCAGTGTAGTTGACGTTGGGCAGGATCTCGACAGGCTCCTTGAACATGACCCGGAAGGTGTTGGCCGAGCCATCGCAGCTGAACCCGGTGTCGTTCTGACCCAGGACAGTGTTACTGTCCGTGTGGATGATCTGGGGGCACAGGCACAGGAAGAAACAGAGGTTACAGAGCAGCAGGGCTGCACTCTGCTTTGACATTCGAGCCCAGAACCTCATCCCCTCCCTCCCCTTCATCACAAGATACCAGGGACTCAGCCGGACCTGGATGTTGACCTGGTAATCCGTGGGTCCGTGGATCGATCCGTAAAGCCCGAATCCCACGACAAATATCCGGCGATTCACCGAGAACCTGAGAGAGGGACAGAGGGAGGGAGAGGTTAGAGGGTAGTCCGATTCGGGGCAGCCCTGCGGCACAGGAGCCCCAGAAGGAGGGAGGGGTCAGAGGGCAGCAGGGTTCGGGGCAGCCCTGCGGCACAGGAGCCCCAGAAGGAGGGAGGGGTCAGAGGGCAGCAGGGTTCGGGGCAGCCCTGCGGCACAGGAGCCCCAGAAGGAGGGAGGGGTCAGAGGGCAGCAGGGTTCGGGGCAGCCCTGCGGCACAGGAGCCCCAGAAGGAGGGAGGGGTCAGAGGGCAGCAGGGTTCGGGGCAGCCCTGCGGCACAGGAGCCCCAGAAGGAGGGAGGGGTCAGAGGGCAGCAGGGTTCGGGGCAGCCCTGCGGCACAGGAGCCCCAGTCTCGCTCACCGGATGCGGTCGCTGGTCCCGCTGTAGCCCCAGCGGCTCTCCACCTGGCCGAAGCGCGTGATGCTGCACTCCTTCCCGCGCAGGCAGCAGCGCGGCCGGTCGATGAAGTCCACCCGCGGCTTGGGGTTGACCGTGAAGTGCAGGAACAGGCTGACCACCTCCCGGTCCATCAGGATGCCGGACTGGGCCGGACCTGGGCAAGGACAGAGTCAGGGAACGAAGCAGACAGACAGGTGGGTCGACCAGCTACAAGAAACAAGTGCTTGAGAACTTGATTGATCGATTGATCAACAGCGTGAGAACTCACTCATCTCCTGGGTATGCTTCATCATTGTCTTCCCATGATGCAATAAGGTAAATTACTGATTTACTGTATTAATTCACAAACAGCTGTATGGATAAATTCTGACAACAAGGCCACACAACGTGGAGACCAGAGAGGTCCTTCCTCTCCAGCCCGTCTCGGAGAAAGCACAGCGGAAACAGGGGAGCAGGGGCCGGCAGCGGGCAGGCGTACCGGCGGCGAATTCCTCGATGGTCATCAGCGGGAAGCGGATGAGCGAGAGGGACTTGCCGAGCACGCGGCGCTTGTTCTCCGGCGTCGGCTGGAGCTGCTGCCGCTGGGCCTCCGCCTCGGCCCAGCGCACCACCGCCCCGAACAGCCGCACCTCCCGGACGCCCAGCGTGTCCCGCTCCAGCACCGCCACCAGCGTGTCTGCGGGAGGCGAGAGGGAGCCGGGGTCACTCACCCGCGGCGCGGCCCCCCGCGGCGCCGCCGGCAGACCGGGTCTTACCCAGGTCGATGTCGGTGAAGCCCTCAGCCGCGATGGCGTCGGCGGTGTTCTTGTCAATGTTCTCCAGACACAGGCTGGCCAGCTGGGGCTCGTCGAACAGCCGGGCCTGCAGCACAACACAGCTCATCGACACGGGGTACCAGAACGG